GCACGCACGCGAGGAGCGAGCGCGCGGCGGTGAAGGGGGTCGTCGCGAGCGGCTGGTGGACCCTGCGCGCGCGTGGGATGGTGAGAATGCTGAACGGTGGATCTGATGGTCGCTGTGGAGCCGAGGGGTTATTGTGGGCTGGGGCGGCGGCGTGCGTGCACGTACGGGTGAGAGCGCGCGGTCGGCGGCTTTAGCAGCCTCGAGAGCGACTGCCTTGTGGGCGCTGAGCGTGTCGCCCTCGCTGATCATGTAGGTGCGGGGGGAGTAGCGGGTGAAATCGAGCGAGGCGAGGAGGAGCAGGGCCTCGCTCGTGTGGCCTCCTGGGAGACGGGTTTCAGCAGGAAGGACGGAGGACGAGGTGCTCATGCGCACCAGAACCCAGAAAGACCGCGAGGCTGCATGTGTCGGAGGACTGTCGGCGCGGCTTGTTTCGCGGGGCGGAAAGGAGAAAATAAATACGTAAGAGCAAGCACGAGAGGATGGCGATACCAGATAGAAGCCAAGAGAGCATGTCAGGCGTAAGTGAAGCACGGGCAGCTGCAGGGCACACAAGGGCCAGGCTTCAGGCGCCGTTTCGGACAAGGGTCGCAGTCGTCTCGGGCATCCGCCAGATAATCTTGGGTCGGAGGCGTCTGGTCTGGAGCAGTGTGCAGCGGCCAGGGAGGGAGGGAGAAGGACGGCAGGCGGTGTCACCGCTTGGGCCTGCTGCTGCACTCTCAAAGTTCTAACGCTGGCAGACGCCCGGCCCAAGACTCAAGTCCACTTGGCGTCTGCCCTTTATGGCAACTCAAGTTCACCGCCGCCCGCGCGTCCACTGACCGCGCTCTCCGACACTCTCCTTTGTCACTCCCAGCCGTGCTCCGCCTTCTCCTGAATAATCCGTATCATTCTCTTCTCTATTAACCGCGCAGTTGCAGCGGAGATACGTACCGGGCCTGAACCGATGTCGTTTTCCACCGTTGATGCCGAGACCGTGGCTGCTCTGAGGGATGCTGCGCGCGACTGCAGCCAGAGAGGTCTGTCCTACGCGTCCAAATGGTGTGTACGCGACCCCGAGCTCCGTTCGCTTTCACATACCTCACTTCTTAGGGCGGCGGAGCTGCTCCTATCGGTCCCGCTCGCGAAGAGGCAGCCACAGTCGCCCGCGATCCACACTTCAACGCCTGCGAGACCCCGCTCGCCGCGCCCTCCGGCTCCCACCTCTCACGCTCCAGAAATCATAGCACAGCCAAGACATCCCCACGCGCCTGCCCTATGCGCCTTGCCGGAGGACGTCCGTAAAGAAGAGTCAGAGTGGGAGGCACACGACGCAGACTACATAGCCACCGCCCGCGCCCTCATCGACGGCAAGGACTTCATACGGGCCGTGCACTGGCTGAAGCCATGCCGGAGCTCAAAGGCCCGGTTTCTGAGCGTTTACAGCCAATATCTGGTACGCTCCGCTCATTCCGTTCTGGGACAAACATTGACCGGCGCGGCACAAGGCAAGCGAGAAGCAGGCGCTGAAAGATTGGTATCAGCTCGACAGTAAGCCGGCGGTCTACTCTTCTTTCTTGCGATGGCTCTTTAGAACACTCTGGTCGTAGAGACACGGTTCCAGCCCCCGCTGCCCGTTAACACCTCCTTGCTCGACCTGCTGCAGATGGTGCAGAATTCGATCGACCCGTTTCTCCTCTTTTTGTATGTCGCCAAACCGCTATCAGCAAGCGGGATATTTTGGTGACCTCCGTAACGTCCAGGAAGGCGCTCTTCCTCTGCCGACTATCCCGAAGAGAAGAGGCCATCGAAAGCGCCCTCTTGTCAATCGCAGCATATCCTTGGAACTGGTCAACGTGGGCCGTCCTGGGGGAATGCTTAGGTGACGGAGAAGAGGTTGGTATCGACGATGTTGATGCATACATGGCCTCACGTGTTAACAGTTATCCTCTCTGTTGCCGTTGTTGCCGCTCCCTCCGACACATCCGCTGGTCCAAATGTTCCAAGTGAAGACTCTGAATACGCTCCACAGCCCAACCGACAACGAACTGGGGCTCTGCGATCGGCTGCTTTCGGAGCACCTCTTTCCTCGGAGTTTGTGGGTCATGTCTCTTCGCGCCAATGTGCTGTATCACATGCACGGTATGCCTCATGTTCATGCGGTCGGCTGTGTCTCATCGTTTATCAGACTTCAAAGAAGCAGCAGTCCAGTTCACTAAAGTCCTGGCCATCGACCCTTACCGGATAGACGATATTGATATCTACTCTAACATCCTCTATGTCACAGAGGACCAGATGACCTTGTCCAAAATTGCTCATGAATTTACAGTGATCGACAAAGACCGACCAGAGGTGTGCTGTTTGATCGGTATGCGTGTCTTTCTCTGTAGGTTGGGATCGCGTTTGTATCACTCAACGGGTTGCTCACCGACAGGCAACTATTACTCGCTCCGTAACGAGCATGAGAAAGCCATCAAATATTTCAGACGCGCCACCCAATTGGATCGAACATATTTATCAGCTTGGACGTTGATGGGACATGAGTATGTGGAGATGAAAAATTCTCATGCAGCCATAGAGGCGTATCGAAAAGCTGTCGGTAAGTTACGGCTAGCCTGGAAAGACTGTCAATGTCAGAGACGGCTGCTAATCGCGCACATCGATTTTCCGACGGCCTAGACGTAAACCGGAAGGATTATCGGGCATGGTACGGCCTGGGACAAGCCTATGAGCTCTTGAGCATGCATCAATATGCTCTCCACTATTATCAACATGCGACGGCTTTACGGTAGGACCCTTAATATTCTACCCCTCTCTGTTATCGCTTCTCTCCTGGATCCACACTCCGCTCATTATGGACAATGTTGCCGCATCATAGGCCTTACGATGTTCGGATCTGGCAAGCGCAAGGTATCTGCTACGAGGAAATGGGACGGTAGGCCGTTTTCACCATCGCCAATTTTGATATCCGGTTGATAGGAATCGGCATATCGCCCGTCGTCCGCTTGTACGTACGTGTCCTGGCAGGCCGCGAGAAGCCATTGAATGCTTGAAGCGCGCGCTGATTGGTGCGGATCCCCACGAAACGACCATCCACCTCAAGTTGGCAAAGCTCCACAACGACCTGGACGAGTTTGCTGAAGCCACCGCGTATCACCGGCGTGTCGTCGAGGTGTGTCGTGCTGCAAGTTGAGTTCGCGTCTCGCCGGTCCTCTCACGTCCATGCTGATCCGATCCGTGACTTCTGTTCTGACTCACTTCTGACGAACCCTGTCGTTCTGCTTTTGCCTTGTTCGACAGACAAGCCCGTCTCGGATTATTCCAGGTCTGGCGTCTACGTTGCGCGCTTCCACCTCATGCATGGTGGGGGTGATGTCGCCCTGGCGAAGGACTATCTGGAGACAATAGCTTCCAGTAATGCCGAAGAAGTTGGACAAGCCACGGATTTACTAAAAAAGGTGAAAGCCGCGTTAGCCCAGATGGCGCTAGATGCTGCATCGGCCTCAAGTGAAAAACCCGAGGACCAGGTTGCTGGAGCACCTTCTGAGGCACCCGCGGGGGCGACGTGACCGTGCTTCGACGGTCCATGTTCCCCCATGTAGTATGAGTCATGGAAGGGTCTCGTTCTGCACCCATGCTGTAGCAGCCAAAGTGACTTGTTTGTGCTATTATCAAATTGAAGTAACCTTAGCCGCCCAATGCATGTCGTGAGCGCCTCGGTGTCTGCCCTGAATTGAGTTAGTGTTACGTAATACGTGTCGGCCACAGCCGCCACATTACCACGATCACGCGGTCACGCTCGCGCGACGGGGTAAACGGAGCAAAACAAACAAATCCGCCAAAGCTGAGATGTCGAATATCCTGCCAGGCTCAGTCTCTTCTTTTCCCTCTGCTACGCCTGCGGAATTGCCATTACAACCGCATGCTAACGATACTGCTCGATATCTCTCTCAAGGGATCGGCTCTGATAATGCGACGCCGGCCCCTGAGACGGCTGCCCCTGCGGTTGCGTCGACATCCACACCGGACCAGGAGCTCATTACAGTAGATGGAGACGTGGATCAGAACGACTGCCGGGCATCGCGCGCTGCTCGTTCGAGGGTCGAGGCGGATATGGATGAGGTTGTTTCCAGGGTGAAAAAACGTGCCTCGATCAATGCCCGGACGACGGAGGACGCGACGCTAATGCTGCAGACGGCCGCCCGGTACGCACCTGGTATTGCTCATTGTATTGTCCGTGTGATTTACTTGTGTGATCCAGCGTTGCGGAACGTCTGGCTGCAGACCACGATTCGGTGCTATATCCTGACGTGGATGCGCCCTTCGCCGATGCGGCGGATGTCGTGAAGCGCTTGCTCCCGTACCACGTTTTTCAACATCCCCAGGAAGACTTGGCTGGTCTCACGTCTCAGCGCGTCTTTCCCTCGCGCAAGGGGAAACGGAAGGCCACGGAGGAGGATCTATTGCGTGAAGACATTGCTGGTGCGCCCACTTTTCCTCCATCGTCTACGTATGAGCGTTTACACTCGATAATTTCCAATATTATAGAGACAAAGTTTGCGCTGGACTGTTGGCGACGGCGCAGGGCGCTCGAAGAACGCTTCAGGCGCGCCCGGACACAATCGGGCAAGGTCAGTGGTGACGCTGTGCTGAGGCGCGTGGCATTAACACGCTTGATACATACAGCGACCGTCCCCTGATGATCAAGCATACATTTTGGCGCAGGCCGTGTTGGATGGCGAACGCACCGAGACGGCGAATGCAACCACCGAGCTTCGTGCGGCACGTGCGGAGTTGGATAAGCTGGAGCGCGAAAAGCGAGCGGCGGCGCAAGCAGCTAATCCGCGACCAGCCTCCTATTATCGGACAGCAAACACGACCCCTGCAACGTACGCGACGCAGTATCGAGGATATTCATACCCATATGCGCAGGCATACGGAGCGTCACACTACACCTTTAGTCCAGCATTTCAAGCCGCGCCAACGACATATCCGGGCGTCCCGGCGAACCCATATGCTGGCGCGGCTTACGCACCTGCGGCGCAGACGGCGACGTCATCGTATTCTGTTGCTGACACTCGCGCGACAACTACGACATCCGTCGCCGCGTCTACGCCGCCAGCGACTCGACCGGGGGCGGGATCTGTAACATCCGCTATCCCGGTGCAGTTGCCCTTGACATCCCTGGAAGCCCTGAAATCCATAAACTTGGAACCTGTGCCTGTGCAGTCGTTGCCGCCCCCTGGGCAGCCACAGCCGGCAGCGGTGCTCCGGTCACAGAACGGGACGATGATGTATCTGGAAATCAACGTCGGATCTCTTCAGCCATCGCAGATGAGTGGGCTGGCGGTGATTTTGAACGCGCTGACGTCAAGAGGGGCAAAGGGGAATGCGGCCGGCGCCACTGGAGCGAGGAGTGGGACGCCTTCGGCAGCAGAGGTGTCGAATTCATCGCAGTCGCAGAGCGCACAGTGAGAACGGTACCCTGGTCTGTCGTATTATTATTGGTGTATCAGTAACCTACATACAAGCTCGAACGCGATAGATAGATAGTAAGCAGCATCGGCATTGAGATGTTACAGCAACAAGTATGTAGAGAAGTTTTAAGTTCTGAAGCAGAAAGCAATCTGCCGCACGGGTGATGGATAGATGGATGTGGAAACGGGGTTATGTCGACGGAGATATGCCTTTTTCGACCGAGAGAGTCGGAAATGTCCTGGGAGGATCGGAAAAGGAAACCGCGAGCTGGCGAAGTTTCGCGTCCGCCTCGACGATAGACTCGCTCGCCGTCCCTGCCCTCGCCCACAGCGGCCGTGATCACCGTCCACAATGCCACCGACACTGCGCCCGCCCTCGTCACTGTCGTCTCCGCGCACACAGCAGCCTGCAGCACCCTTTCCACCCGCAGCCGTGCGCCACCAAGTGGGGCGTAGATGCTGCACTGATATGCGCTTCCTTGTCCATGCCGAAGCACCCTAGATTTGCTTTATGCGACTGGTGGCATGACCGCAGAGCAGCGGTGGATCCGACTCCTCGCATCCACCGTCTATAAAAGTTCTCCCTCAGACCACAGGTGCGTCCAGCCACACTCTGCTCCACCTCGCTCCTGTCGTCGCTACGAGTTGCTATCAGCCCACCCATGTCCGCCGACGCACCCCTCGTATTCTCCAACCTCCCCACGGAGCTCCTCCGAGACATTTTCGAGCATGCCGCCGTCGCGGACATCATCACTGCTCGCGCGCTGAGCCTCGTCTCCTCCGCCGTACACCACTGGACCGACCCTATCCTCTACCGGACCGTCGTCCTGTCCTCCGCACGCGACCTGCGCTCCTTCCTCTCCGCCATCTCCCACAAGCCCGCCGACTTTGTGCGCACCCGTGTCAAACACCTCGGCATATTCGCGCTCGGCCCCGTCCAGAGCATCGACCGTGTGCTCAGCGCGTGTCGCGACGTGCAGAGCCTTGCGTGCGGCTTCCATCTCCCCGGATACAAGCAGGTCCGCGGGTGCGACGCGCTCCAAGCGCTCCAAAGATCGCGCGAGCAGCACCTCCTTGGGTTGTCCTGCCGCGACGGATGGGACACCGCCCTCGTTGGACCCTCTGTCACACATTTGCGCATTCATCTCACTTCGTGCGACGCTGGTGACCCGAACGCGCCTTTTGGGCTCGCCCTCGGGACAGGCAGCCCGAGTGATTCGGGCTGGGAGCGTCTCATAGGCCTCTCCGCGCTCACGCATCTCGCCATTGTCTACCGTTACTCGCCCAAGATGCCCGCCGATGCTATTCTGTCGGCACTACAGCAGCTGCTGTTGTTGGGCAGTAGCCCTTCCTCCAAAGCCGCTCCACCCCGCTTCCAGCTCATTCTCATCCAAGTGCTGGGCAGCACCGCGGATCGCTCATCTACGGACGCCACCGTGGAGTTGATCAATAAGGCAGTCGTGCAAACGGGCGGATCCACACTTCGAATCGTGGCTGAGAGCGCACCTGCCTCCGTGGTTCGCCAATGGGAGACCGCGGTGAGGGGCGGCCCGAGCATTTGGGAAAGTGCCGAAGAGGTTGTGAAGACGAGATTGGCTACAGCGGCGAAGAAGACGAATGCTCAGGGGGGCGAATGAGAATCCCGTAAACTTTATGTATGTTCAGTTACCGATCGCGGACATCTCAGTATGCTCAGTACCGTAAGAGTTCTAGTGTAGTAACAAAATACCTCTGTCTCAATAGTAGATACATGATTAAGTTCAGTAGTGCGAGTGGGTCTTCCTGCGGATCTTTGCCTACACGAAGTTACCGCTATTATGTGCATGGTTGGTAAACGTCGTGGTTCACGGGATGCTTGTCCTGGTTAACATTGAATATTGAACCCTCATGCCCGAAGGCTCGTGCGAAGATACGGACTGGTATGTAGCAATCTATAAGCGGTATGTTATTAGCCTGAACAGAAAAGCCGTACATAGCTGATCAGCTGCGCGCTCCCGGTACTCCTTGTTCCATTCGGCGTAGGCTCGCCTCATCTCTCAGTAGAAAATCAAATGCCTTTGGAAGTCTTTGAGTACCGAGGATAAGTCTCTTCTCGACAGGTGAGGCAGTCATTTCGGAGTTTTCATAATTGGCCGCAACATTGCACAAACGCACATGACAGTAGTCATAATCTGTTCTGATAGACTTCCCTGACCTTCTAGTAAAAAGATGGCTGCATTTGTTGACGTCAAGTCTGTCACCAACACGAATGTTGTATAGGCATTTACCTCAGTAATGTCGACGTCGATGCGTCATGATCGCGGCCGCCGTCTGCTCGCGGACTAGTCTATCGCGTCAAATTGGCGTACGTACTTCACGAGACTGCTGGCGAATAAGATTCAGATGGGTCGCGCTAAGCGTATGTAAGCTCCGTGTCTGGCCTGCGCTGAGCAAAGAGCCGACTGGTTCCGATGTTGCGGTCGGCAATAGCATCGTGGCGCGAACTTGTCATATAAGGACAAGTCAATGCCCATGTTCAGCATGATGAATCATAGTAGAAACAGGAATAATACTACTCGCATGAAGACAGTTTCCGGTTTCGTGCAGGGATGCACGCAACAAAGTTGATCGTGCGGCGTAACTAGTACAAGGAGAATATGGGCGCTGGCGGTTAGCGACCTCAGTACGCGTTGTGTTATTGAGAGGATTTGAAAATGGAATCATGCATAGTCCAGGATGCTCACTATCAATAATAGAGAATCGGATAGATCTTCGCGAAAGTTCTGATACCATGCATATTTAATATTGCAGTCACCCGTGTAAGAAATGCAATACCTGTACTTTGGCTGGTGCAAATTGTGTCACGTACAACTTGCTGCCATGATTTGCACAGACGCCTTGCGTTCATAATTAAACGGACGACGTAAAATCAACCGTCAAAATAAAAGGATCTGAAATTGCTCAGCGGCATGATGTCTGAGGCTGACCGTTGATCAACTTCAGACGAAACACATACCTTGACAGTGAGCGCATCAGGAACGCAATCCGTGATACGACTTTTAAATTACTAGTAGAAAGCATAGCCGAATTGAAGGCGTTCCTAAATTGAACAGTATGATATACCGTAGAGCCTATCGAGATAGATGTTTTCGTGCAGGACAAAGTGGGAAGGTCAGGGTTGCCGCCGCTTTCCCGCACGAAGTTCAAGTACTCGACTTGGTGTGCCATGCACAAGACATCGGACAGCGCCCACGGGCACCCATAAGCGTCGGCTTAGATCACGTGCACATGGGGCACGGCCCCAAAAGAGGAGCGGTAGTACGGACTCGGATGCACTTGAAAGGCCTGTGGCAGGACGGTGCGGCAGCTTTTGCACCCTCCTCGAGTCTCGTGGACGCGATTGACTATTCTGAATTACAGGTCCCTACCATTCCTCACACTCAGGGATGCTGTATGAAACCCCTAAGTCCTGTTAATTCCGGAATCGGTAATTCGCATGACTCATATTGTGAGTAGTGCTACTTCCAAGAGTGAGCTTCGAATGAATAGAACCACAAGGGCTTGCGCTGAACGTTCAAAATACTCTAGTATTGCGAATTATTTTCGCGGCCTCCTGCCCGCACTCTCCGACAGTGGCGTTCGGGCCCAGCCCCGGCCTCCACGATGTCCGCGCCGCGCAGCTCGGTGCAATTCTCTTCTGGGGCTCCCCCCGGTATCCGGGGCACCTATACGTTCCGCATCGTTATGTGAGTGACATCATTCAATTCTAGTGTTGGGCCCTGCTGGACCCTTCGCGATGTATCCATTATTCCCTTCTAATTGACAGTCTTCAGGCTCCGACGTGGTACGGTGTCCTTCTGATGCAGAGGGAGGTATGGCATTGCTCATAGACTGTATGTCATCATTACCCACGTTTCTTCCTCGATGCCCATTGCACCCCGTCCTCGCCCGAGAAATTTGCGATGCATCGAGCGCCGAAGTGTCTTCACAAACCGGGTCTTTCTTCTGGCAAAATGACCACGGCCATCACCAACTCCTACCACGCACGGCCTCATGAGTAACATATCCGCGAGCAATCCCCTCTCGTTACGAATAAACGAACGGTGTCAGCTGTCACACATGCGGCCTCACATGTTGGAGCGCTCACATAAAATCTGATATGGTTCCCAGGCCGTAACATCAGAACGCGTCCCTCAGAGGAAGGTGAGATAGGGTGCATTTACTTCCCAGAATCCACTCTCCTCCGCAAAATACCGCTTACCGATGTCCTTAGATGTCCGCCGACAAGATCTGGGGTCTCGCTGAGCACCCTCTGCTACATGTGTCTCCTCGAGCTTCCTGCATGACAGATGCGTCTGTTCTGCTAATCATTCTGATAGCGACACGCTCGATACCAACGTGCTATCGTGCGTACATCTAATCCTTCACGGACAGAATGCCAGTGTTTGGCGCTCATTTGGTAAGCGTTGCCCGCTCCACCACCCAGCAAGGCAGCTAGCTGAATTGGATCATTCGCTCTGAGAAGATCCATTGTATATCGCCGAACAATCCATCGGACGTCTCCGGTCTGCTGCGCTAGAACAATGTTGATTATGGATGGCCGATGTCCAGGACATATGTCACGTCTACTACTGGATAGTGTGCAGCTGGTGAGGAACCGGTTCAGACTTTACCGACAATAATGAAGACAAACACAAGAGGGCGATTGAGACGCCAAACATCCCGCTTGGCGCATGGCCATACCCACACACTCTGATAACCCATTACTATATGCAATTACATCGGCGACAAGTCGCATGAGCGAGTCTCAATACAATACATATTAATGTAAGCTACAACACACACGAGCTAAAAACAACAACACGAGACGGCAAGCTCCCAATGAAGGGAAATTTGCCCATCCTAAGACTAAGAGTGAGCGCTAAGAGGGGAGCAACCAGAGCCAAGATTGTCTTGGCGCAGAACTCGCACCATATAATATCGCCGCGCAGGCCGTCTTCCGCAACCCGCACCTACTGCGTGTTACCGACTCGAGGAAAGATACGGATCGTGGCCGGGCCAATGCATACGACTATGTATTCTCTCGTCAGCATAACGCGCAAAATTACGCCCCAAAATGCTAGGACCACAACTCACCGCTGTTCGCCCATATCCCATTGCCCTGAAGGATTTGGAGCCGCAAATGAGGGTGGAGGATGCCGATAAACATGAAGGTGGTCGTATGTGACAGGTTCTGGATATGAGAGCAAAGGGATGGTGTCATCGGTACGTTCATGCTTGACGTGAGCGGTTGGAGCTCCTGGCAGTGCCTCTGTCGCATCTAGATTAGATACGTTCATATTATGCAAATGGTCAGTGGCAGCGGGAGGTGGTGGGTTCGCGCGGTAGTCTGTTGGCCGATGAAACGCATAATCCACAACAGGAGCCTGCCCGTTGTATGCATGAATGTCATTGTCCTGGCGACGAGGTGGTTGATGGGGTGCCGACCACGGTACTTGAGGTAGATAATCATCGGGTTGCACGTAGCTGGAACGTCGGGAAGAAGGTATCTCGTGTAATGGCCAAAGGTGAGATGAATCACCGTATGGTGGAAAGTCCTGATATTCAATCATTGAAGGATGATACGAATGTGAGCTAGTTGGAGCAATTAGTTGGGACTGAGGAATGTCAGGATGGTAAACGCGGTCGGGAAGCTCATCCACAGGACCAGATGAAGGATAATATAGCCTCAAATTGCGCCCGGCAGAGCTACAGACCGTGGACCGACGTGCGGATGCTTCTTCGTATAGATGTGGCTTCGGTATGCTACTTAAAACAGGGGCAGAATTCGGCGGAAGTGCCTCTGAAATAGATCGACTGTCGGTACCTTAGTAGGATTCAGAGAAGAGAATAAAATGACAGTATTTACCATGCACCTCTTGCCACTTCCCACCTTGCACACATACCTTTCAGAAGGTCGAGTAAAGCATAGATCTCCTCAGTCTGCCCGTCGTTCGTTGACAGCTTTCCATCTTCGTAGCCATGAGAATGCTGATGTCTCTGGACGTATTCCCGGCCGAGCTGCGTCCATTTATTGACGAGTAAAACGCCAGAATAAAGGAAAGCATAATGGGCATAAAGTGTGTGCAGAACGAGTCCACGTTCTTGTACTATCTCCAAAATGCGCGCGCCAGCTTTGGCTGCATTTGTACACAGTGATAGTGAAGAAAGAGAATCATCGAGCTGGTCGGGTTGTTCCCTCTTCAAGGAATAGTCACCAAGTGCAATCACACGAGGAGCTGGCATGAAGGGTCGATACACCGTGATTTGAACCATGTAGTAGGATAAATATAGCATGGAGGATTGTGTTGCATAGGTGTTGTTGTCCATTGGTGGAGGCCATCTCACTGAAAACGAAGGCTGAGTGAGGGGGGGGCGCATAATCCGCAGCAACGAATTACTTACAGTGGGGTGGCACATTGTGGATCCATTCCAACATAGCTTCATTTAGTTGCGAAACGGTTTCCTCTCTCCAATGTGGCCCTACGAGCCCGAGCGGCTGCTTAGAACGGCTTAACGCATACTACAGAAGCACCGTCAGGCAATGTCAAACAAAACAGACTACGAAAGGCTCACGAGGGTTCTTAGTGTCGATGCGCATATTTGGCTCAACTTGATCCAGTGGACGAAGGCGGTGACATTAGCAGGTTTTCCGTGAGGCTGCCGGAAAGGTTCTCGCGTGCTGTCACCCTCCCAGAACTCGTCGTCCACCTCGAGGGGAAGCTCCAGATCAAAACTGCTGAAACTATTAATTTCTGTATAGACCCCGATGCGGTGATACTCACTCCTCTTCTCCTGAGCAGCATGACCGGCCGGCCATCAAAGCTCCCACACGATCAATCGAAACTAAATGCCAGACAGCTCTCTTCCAAAGCTCTTCTTCGACAGTAGGTTTTCGCCCATAAACTTTCCTACGATGTACACCAACGTCCTGCGCCTTGCGGATGCCAATGCTAACAAGTGTCCAGGACTCACTGTGAGCAGCAGTTCCTCTGAAGTATACTGCCATGAGCTATATAGGATCCCGACGGAATAAATTCGTAATCGGCTGATAAGAATATCGAAAAGTCCCTAGTGCAGTATATGTACGTACCACAAGAGTTTGTATTTCGAATAAGTTTGCAGGGAGAAACAAGCTACGGCGGTATCGATGGACATCTTGAAGAAAGACATTAGTAAACATAAAAGAGATCAATGAACGCATACCCACCAAGGACTACATCAACAAACTTCCAACCTGCCAGTCCCCACACACCATCTGGCGATTCGTCCGAGGCAGACTGTGCAATATCATCTGGAAGCACTCTTGGATCGTGACTCCATCGGCTGGCCACTGCAAAGAGCCCCATGCAAACACCAGCGAACCAGACGTCAGTCTTGTACAATTCTTCTCGCCATTGTTTGTCAAAAGTAGGACGGTGTAAGAGCGGATATATGGTGTTGTGTACACCAAAATATATCTGTATCAAATCATTTGCTAAATCCAGTGGCGGAAAGCGGGACATCAAGAAGGATGGCGTTGTCGATCGATCGGCGCCTTCAAATGAAATTTCCCACTAAGGATGAATGATTACTCCTGTCAGCGGGCAGCACAATGCGACAATATTTACTGCAAGGAAGCTCACAGGCAAAGAACACCAATACTCGGACCTCCTGAGTGCGTAGCCAGGACCAGGGGTACTATTTGAGTTCGAGCCGGACGCCAGAGACTCTGGCGACGATGCCCCCGCCATTTCATCCATGTGCCGCTGCTTAAGCTCTCTCGTAGCATTTATGAGCTTGAAGGAGCTGCTCTTTCCGTGGAACCTCCACTGTCCGTCCATGGCTTGCTTACCATTGACATTTGCTGGCTGTAGGCCACGCATTGTCAGGTGTGTCATACCCTGCACCAGGCTGAGTTCAACAGAGGAATCTTCATGGTCGGACGCGGATAGCGAGGAATCAGACGACCCCTCCTCATTTTGACTCGTGCTGCCATCAGCCACAGGGTGTTGACTTTTCTTGCGATATCGTCGCGGAGACTTATGCCTGACGGAAGAAGCACCGGCACGCTCTCCAGCCGGACCTCGGTACGCAAAACCAGGCGACAAGATCGCTGTGGTCATCGGTAGCAATATGTGACTGCGACTGCTCGACGGCGCGGCGGTGGAGTTTGTCGATGATGTTGAAGCTGTCTGAGCGACCGACTGTGCGATCTGTGCGTCTGCTTTCCAAGAGTCTCGGACGACAGGAGGACCGAGTTCGGTAGTAAAATCTGTGTCCGGCCTCAGCTGTAGGATAGAGCGTAAGCAGATACGCGGACAACACGATTGAGAAACGACAAGTACGGTACGCCGTCAAGCCACGCAAAAGTCCTGGGAGAGAAACTCACTCTGCGAAGCAACGCTTCTATTTTCTCGACACGATCCTCCAGAGCTGTTACATAGCTGATCGTGATTGTAAGGGAGGAGATGGTGGATCTGAGATGAGGACCAAAGGACTCACGCCTTGGGAGGGCCTCGAGGTTTCGAGCTCTCACTGTCGGAAGCAGTAGAAGACATCATGAGCTGGCCGAAGGTGGGCGAGTACAAGAGAAAAAACGAACATATAGGTGCAACTCCTGCCTGTCTGCAAGCAATTCGTGCACACATTATCCAGCATCTTGGGACCATCGCATTTTGTCTTCCGCTTCCGACAAAAGTCGCATGCGCGCTCGATCTTGCGCTTCTTGGAGCGATGGTCATCTCGCGAGAGGTCAGCGGGGAAGAAGGAGTCAGCAACGCGCGGGGGACCAGGGGTGGAATAGAGAGGGTCTGGGGCGGCGTGTTCCTCGAGGTCAATGATGGTTGCAGAGCGCTCGTAGCCAAGACCTCCGTGCATGGCGCTGGATGATGCGCTGAACGGGGGAAGAAGGCTCGAGGGCGTCGACGGCGGCGGCGGGGAGCAGGGCGCAGGGCGCAGCAGGCAGGCTTGGGGGTCGTTGTCCGACAGGTGAGTTGAGCAGCATTCGGGCTCAGCTTAGGAGCCATGCCAAAGTCTCCCCGCCGCCGCGGCCAATCTCGATTCTCACAGGCCGCGATTGCTTCATCAGGAAATATACGGCAACAATTATTTCTCTACGTGTCTGTGCCCCGCGAGCTCCGCCAGAACATGTGCAGCGGCGTGCCTGAAACGACGGCGGTGCTGGCGGCGAATGTGACCAGCTGCTCCTGGTCGGCGGCGTTGCTCGCCTCCCGACTAGCAGTCGTCCAAGCGGCCCGCTCCGGCCTGCGCCGTCCGGAATCCTCGGAACCCGTCTCCGATGTTGTTCCGCCGGTCCTCTTATGGCAATTCTCCCGTCTCTCCCGGCCGTTCCGATGTACAGTCAGTGCCAAGCCTGTCCACGTGCTCGAAGGTACCTGACGGCACGTGCTGCCCCACGCGATCCCACCCGCTACGCCTCTTAGACTTGAGTCTCCTCCATACCACGTTTTCCCCGTCCTCGACCACATGCTGCTGCCTCGCATTCGACTAGCCGCGTTCAGCTCCAGACTACGCTGGTACTCGCAGCGCAATTCCCTCAACCGTCCTTCTCCACCCTCTCTGCCCCGTGCAGCCCAGCGCGAGTTCGAAGAGCTCGTTAGAACTGCCCAAGCGCCGCTGCAGCAGCCGGCGGCATCTGCTGAGGCAGAGCTGACAATGCACCCAGACGCGCGGGAGCCACTCCTGCCTCAGTTTGTAGGCGAGACAAATCCCGCTACGGGCGAGCGGGGCGGGCCGAAGCGAGAGCCCGTCGGCAAATGGGTTGACAGCGAAGGCGACTGGAGCTTCAAAGGGAGAGTATCAGACTTTTAGCTCGCTGCATTGAGGTACGCCACAGACATATCCTCTTGTCAGCAATGCCCTTATTTTCATCAGACTCACAGTAGGTCGTCCAGCCCATCCCTTGGACGGACATTCTGGCCGAGAATAACAAGTCATCTTTGTAATCCTCCTGAGCAATCCACGTTGTTCGATATCTATGACCCACATCGCTCATTGCGCGCCTCTAAGGCATTGAGCGGAGCTTCAGGCTTGGCTTCCTGGACTTTGCGATGAATGTGATCGAACCTCGGCTGTTGATCTACACCAGGCATGTCATGATGAACAATGTCTGTCAGCACCGCAAGAGCCGCCGGCGCATTTATTCGTCGCTATTTTAGTATCGAGAAGCCTTGTATCAGGACTGTTTGGACGGCAGACTGTCTCTCCACTTCGGCTTCACCCTCTCAATGAGCATCGTTCCCAAGGTGTGACGCGTTGATCGTGAAATGCCCGTCCTGGCCTCGACTGTTGAGCGGGCTACCGTCGGACTTGCCTTCCTCTCACAGACTCGATCATACGCAGCCAACACGCTACCTCCCGAGCCTTTAATCAGCCTCATTGTTCTGGCCTTGTACCTGCCAGAGGGGACTTTACACATGTATGTGCGACGTCGAGCCGTCTTCATCGCTTCTGATCCATTGACTGCAACGCGGTCGTTTTGCTTCAGTCGTGCCGCGGATGGGGTTTGCATTGCTCCCGCCCTTAGGCCCGAGGCCGAAGGCGGCATCGGTGTACAGAGCTTTTACCGCGACGGGCGGCAGATCGCGCGAACAACACGAACCTTTAGAGGCCCTGTCTAGGGACCACTTACAACACGGGTACGTTCGTCTTTGGATCCGAATGACCCGGAGTCGACAATTATCCCATCGCGTGCTGAAAATAGGCCAAAGTGTCGTTCCTGCAAGCGCCGCCTATGCTTCGCGATCGCGCTTCGACACAGCGAAAGGACCTGGGGCACCTTGTTGTGACCGCGCATCTCCCGAAATGATTATTCGATCGTCACATCGACGTCGTCGCCCGGCATCCTGCGATCATCACCCGCGACACGTACCCTCGTTCTGTCTCTCACTTACTGGAAAGACGGTCCCCCATGATAGCCCCGCGTTATCACATCCTTCAAAGCGTTGCCTATCTTCTGAGCTGCTTTCCATTCATTCCAAGCGAGTCCGCGGATTGATTAGCCGCACTGCTGTGGCTTTCTTCACGTCATGCGCTTGAAAAGTTGCGTCGGCGAGGCTATCGCTCAGCATTACGGCATAACACTACATGCTAGTATTCATTCAATCGATCCTCCTAGTCAAGGAGGCTCAGTAGCAATGAACATCGAGAACGTCTGCTGACGCTGAGCTCGGCCACAGAGTACTTGCTGTGTATCCCATGCATAATATAAGGTGCGCCCGCACCTTGGATAATGATGCATCGACTGACAACTTCTATGCGTTAACACCTCTTAAATAATATGATATAATTGCCGAAGACTGGATCGCTCCCGCAATACGTAGTGTCGTCTGAGTAGTCGATGCATCTCGCACGCTGCTACCCTTCCATCTTCTGATATTGTTTCTGCATCTAATCCGCCCCTAGCCTAGCTACTTATGTATCGTCTGGAACAATAGTGTTTAGCATTTGATGTAGTGGTTTGACTGCTAGTTCTGACATTACGACTCGTACGTCATCATCTGAACTATCAAATCCATGAGCAATACTTACATAGGCACATAAGCAGTTCTACCAACAGGTCGGTTTCCATCATGAGTAGTGGTTGAACAGAACCAATATTTCTGAGTACGTTTGACCATCTCCGGCCCGGTCTGATGCATTATTTAGACGTCATCATTTTGAGTCAGCATGTCCAACTCTCTCTTATGTTGCCTTCAGCTGCATCCTGGAGTCATTGGCACCATTTAAGTAACGCTACCACTAAAACAGGACGAAGAGACTCTTTCCAACGTTGTTTGGCGTTGCATTTTGTCCTGCGATAGATCTACCATTCTGCCTAATCCCACACACTCAAACAAACTCGCGTTTACAATCACACTTGGTATGTATTCCGCTGGGGGACAACAGCATGAGGTGGCCATGCAAGAGAGGAAATGGATGTTCAGAATTCCCAATTTTGAAATGCATACATTTTGAGGCATCCAATCGTGCCGCATAGTTAGGAAGCAACAAGCGACCATTCCATGATCATTTCAGAGTGGAATGTGAGTACCCAATATGAGGTGGTGGTCTATCCAAGCACCTTGGTGACAGTCAATGATTGCGGAATGAAATTTCGGCTGTGTGTGCGTACAGTGGACCAATTAATCCGACGTCAGCAAGCCGTATATTAGATGGCCTTGATCATGTGAGTGCGCACACCTATGTCATGCCTGTCGGTAGATCTGACCGCGCATCACACCACTGAAGAGCGATACATTTTTCTCATGCTCACGAAGCGGATACCTGCATTCCGAGGGCACGATGTCACATACAGTCGCACGAAGCCATTCATGAAGGCATGTTTCGCGATCGGCTCGATGACAATGTGCATCACCAACTAACCTCAAATTTGGACCAGGACCAGATCGACCGGGAGCCTTGTAGGAAAATGGGCTATCCCACCTTTGACAGTCCGACGGAGACGAGAGAGTGCCTGGAGAGCTGGAGAAGTGTTATTCACTCACTTCGATCAAGAGGTTCGTGCTACTTTGAGCGAAAGGTTAATCGACTGATCTACTCTTCTCTACTGGTCGAAGATCTCTCACAGGAGAATATGAAGAAGTAACAGAAGCTGGAAGAGATGGATTTGTTGCCTATGTAAATTCTCCGCGTATTATTAGCTGCTCAAGAATAGGTCGTGCATTCGAGCTCATTTCACGGTTGTTCCGGGCCGCCGCGATTTCGGGTATGCCTCGGGAGGCGTTCAATTACATAATACAAATTTTGAGTCGATCATCAGCTCCAGTTGAGTCGTTGTACATACGGACCAGTCCTAGTGCATTGAAATTCTCTGTCTGATCTGGAGTTGGAGTTCCACTACTCGCTGTTTCTCTTACTTAATGGCAGGAGATAAACGGAAGCCTTCTCTCATTTTTGACAGTGAGGGATCACTCTCCGCTTCGGAAGCTGATGAGTTACCTTCGGACTCGGATGGAGAGATCGACATTTCTTCAGCTCTCGCCGGGCACAAAAGCGCACAAAAGCGGCGCAGCAACGACGAAGAGGAAGAAGATGAGCAACTGCAGGAATTTATTAGGGGCAGCATCGCTAAACGCGATGTTAAAGGAGGAACAGATTTGCTTAAGAAGACCAAAGGAAAGACTAAGATGGCTAAAGGAGAAGTAGGCGGAGGTAGCTTTCAGAGCATGGGTGCGTGGTACTGCCATTTAATAAAACCGTCTGCTTACTGCATCTCGCAGGTATTCACCCCTGGCTTCTGCGCTCTCTGACGCTGCAAGGGTTTCGTATACCAACGCCTATTCAGCGGCTATCCATACCGGCCCTGCTTTCCAATCCTCCTCGCGACCTGGTTGGCATGGCCAGAACGGGTTCCGGGAAGTCTCTTGCATACATGGTTCCTCTCGTCCAGCGACTGGGCGGTCGTCACGCTTCGACCTTCGGTGCTCGAGCATTGATTTTGCTTCCTGCGCGAGAGCTAGCGTTGCAAATCTTAAAGGTCGGAAAGGAATTAGCCAGAGGATGGAATGCAGGCGAGGGAAGTCACGCCGGTGATGGAAAGGATACTGAGGACGGGAAGAGGGGACAAGGGCTGCGCTGGAGTCTGATTGTCGGTGGTGAAGGCATGGACGAACAGTTCGAGACGATTTCCCATAATCCTGATATGTGCGATTTCACGTATTGTCTTCATGATATCTGTGCTCACGAATGTTTAGCATCATTGCAACACCGGGTCGACTGCTCCATTTGATTGTTGAAATGAACATGGATCTGAAGTCTGTGCAGTATGTCGTTTTTGACGAGGCTGACCGTCTTTTTGAGATGGGTTTTGAGACTGCTCTGACTGAAATTCTACACCGTCTTCCTGCGACACGACAGACCCTGTTGTTTTCTGCCACGCTTCCGAAAAGTCTCGTCGAATTTGCGAAAGCTGGTCTCCAAAATCCCAAACTTGTTCGGCTTGACGCCGAGTCGAAAATCAGCCCAGACCTCAAGATGTCATTCTTCTCAGTGAAACAGGCAGAAAAGGATGCATGTCTGTTGGTTCTTCTTCGCGACGTCATCGGCGTTCCACTTGGCTCACCGCAAGCTGCAATTGATGACACAAGCAGCACTCAAGACAAGAAAGAGAAGGGGAAGGCCAGACTGAAGTACTCTGAGCAAGTCACGGCACCTCATCAGACTCTTGTGTTCGCCGCAACCAAGCACCACGTGGAATACTTAACAAATTTGCTCACGAGTGCTGGATATTCTGTTTCCCACATCTACGGATCCCTGGACCAGACCGCGCGTACGCAGCAGATGGACCAGTTCCGTCGAGGCCGCACGAACATCCTCGTGGTGACTGACGTTGCTGCTCGGGGTATTGATATACCAGTGCTAGAGAATGTGGTCAACTATGATTTCCCGCAGGGAGCTAGAGTTTTTGTCCACCGAGTCGGCCGTACAGCGCGTGCGGGTAGGCAAGGATGGGCGTGGTCGTTCGTGACAAACTCTGAACTGCCGTATTTGCTCGATCTACAGCTCTTCCTCGGCCATCCCATCAAGAACGAGGTTTCAGATGGTGGGGACCAGGCGTACACCGAGTCTTTCGTCCTCGGTCCATTTGATCGCGACCAACTTGACGAGGAAGTGGAATACATCAGGAAGCTAGAGAACGACAATCACAACCTCACCACGCTTAGAGATGTGATGAAGAAAGGTCACGGTATGTACGAACGCAGCAAAGGGAAGGCTAGCCAGGTGAGCTACAAGCGTGCCAAGGAGATGATCAAGGAAGGCAAGTGGGGACTCGTCGGCGCAGATTCAGGAATACATCCCGTGTTCTTCCGCAGTAAAGACGGGAGCAACGTCTCAACAAAGCTTGCCGGGGAGGCGAAGAGAAAGGCGCTTCTGAAGGCCGTGAATGCTTTCAAACCTTTGGAAACTGTGCTGGAGATTGGTGCTAGGGGAAATACCGAGACTGCGGCTTTGATGAAACAGAGACGCAAGGCACTTAGCAAAGCGGCGCATCGCGCTTCGCTTGCTTCCACCTCTGCAGCCGTTTTGTCTACGGAGGACCTCGATGATGTTGAGGAGATAGGCACACAGGTAGATGCGGACGGCATGGAACTTGCAGATGAGGATGAAATTGCGGTGCGTTCCTATTGATCTTTGTGCTCTTCAAATAATCTGATTTGCTGCATATGCTGCATAGGCTGTCTTCGACTTCGATAAAAAAGGTTCCAGCGGCGGCAAGAACAATTTCCGCGACTCTGAATTCTACATGTCACACTACCAAAAGGATGCTAACACAGAGAAAGGGTGATTCTGAAACACATTTTGCTTAATGACGCAGTGCTGATTTATTGTCAGGTACTCTCTCCGAGATGGTGCTACTTTCGCGGAACAAGCCCAGAATGTTACCTTTGACTTAGCCGGTGATGAGGGCGTCCGAGAACGGAAACGTCGCGAAATGCAATGGGATAAGAAGAAAAAGAGGTTCGTAAAGGGCACAGGGGAGGGCGCCGACAACGTCAAGCTCGTACGCACTGAAAGCGGCGTCAAGCTACCAGCTACGTACCGCAGTGGTCGATTCGATGAATGGAAGGCGAGGAGTCGCGTCAGCTTGCCGAAGGTGGGAGAGGAGGAAACCGAAGCACGGGGAGCTGCTGGGAGGAGGAAGTTCAAGCACAAGCAAGCTACAGCTCCGAAGCCGCTAGATAAGCTCAGCATAGATTACGACCGCAAGATGAGACAGAAGAAGAGAAAGCTGGAGCACCAGGTGGAGTCACACGACCCTGAGTCTTCGAAGAAAACTTTCTCCCCTGGCAAGAAGAGCAAAACTAAGGCCCTTGGTCGGCGGTTTGGAGGAAAGTTTTCAGGGAAAGTCAAGAATGAGCTCAAGACTGTGGATCAAATTCGCAAATCACGGAATACGATACAGAACAGACGTGCCAAAAATGCGCGACCCAGTCGGAGAAAAGGGAAACGATGAGATTGGTGTGGACAGGCGGGCGATTTTTTTTACATATTACTACTATGTAGTGTCCGAATATTCCCATTTCGCACCGTCACCCGGAATGACTTGTACATCAGGTTTGTCTGCTAGCAAGTCTACTCCGACGCTCCTGAGAGCGTTCACGCACCATTCGGGGTATCCGGCATCTCCGAAATAACTCGCGAAAAATCTCTTCAGGTATGCCGGGAAAGTCCCACCTATGATTGCTTCTCGAGCACCACCCATAACTCGGGCTTGGAAGACAATATTGTGTTGTGTGACCGCTACAATCACAACGAAACATCACACGTTAGCCGAGCGCGCTTGTTGTCTGGATGAAATGGCCTACCGTGTGCTCCTGCAGTCTCTATCGTGATAATATGATGCAACATCGCCCGACTTGTACCGTCCGCGCATGTTGGACAGGGGCAGTTTTCGTCTACAGGGCGCATATCCTCTGCATGTTTGCTTAAACCTGCAACCCGATGCGTATGGAGGGATTCAAGCAGTAGTGGTGAAGGCCTTACGTAGATTGAGTGGACCCTGGAAAGTCAATGCGACGCCAAAACGTGCCGTTCGCGTTGGGAAGACGCAGTCCGCCTTGGGCATGTTATAGCCGAGCAGTAAATGTTTAAATGTATCTCTAACATACCATATCAACTCCCAGAGCTACGCAGACCAAAAGATCTACGAAATGTCTGCTCAGCATCTAGAATGGTCGAACCTTGAAATAAATTGACCTTCAGCGAATCCAATACCCATGGAATATCGAGGTCCTGGGTCCAAGGCACATTAGAAGTGATCCGAATGAAAGGAACAAATTCTCACGATCCTCAGGCAATTTTTCTGCACATTGCTTGATCCTTTAAACTTTTGTGAGCGTGAAATGGTGTTTGCGAGGAGGCGCTCAAGCATACACTCTCCAGAAGATATCTAGATTAGATATAAATCAGCCGCACAATACAATCTAGAAGAACGCTGACCCTTTTCTTCTCCACCACTAAGGCCACCAATAGCGTACCCGGCAACGCGATCCTTCCTCTTGATCATCTCCTCTAGGCATTGATCGCGTAGCTCGTGGTCTATCCCTCCCTGGACTATAGCAAAAAGATTTTGATGTCTCTTTCCGGACTTTTCATGAAATTCTATGCATCGATCAAGCCACCGGATGGTTCTCCACATTGCTTCGCCTACACGAGGGCCTACAGTTAAAGTATGGACTACAAATGCTTTGGGATTGGATCGACAAAATATATGGCAAACACTCACCAACATCGTCTAACTGCATCATGATATCAGATCCGATAGCATGTTGTATTGAAATGCTCTCTTCTGGCTGCGAGGATCATCATAAGCGCCAGAGTCAAAATGTAACACACAAGATCTTACTGTGAGCATTGTTGGTTCGCTCGTGAACGGGCTTGCAAATAGAGCGCCTTCTTCGGTGATTTTCGTGAATTTATTCAATGACACTAGCTGGAACCCGCCACTATCCTATACCCAATTAGTGATGATGGAGAAAAGAAAGGTTTCGATTTATTCGCACGGTTAGCAGATTATGTCTCCATCCTTGAAACTCGTGCGCACCGCCGGCTTCTTTAAGAACTTGAATTCCAGGTCTCAGGTTGAGGTGATACGTGTTATTCAAAATCAGTGACACCCCAAGTGCTTCAACTTGATGTGCGGTCAAGCCCTTTATCGCTGCTTGAGTTGCGACAGGCATGAACGTTGGAAGCATTGTGACACCATCTATGCGACCATTTATGCTCTCCAGCGTATCAAATTATGAGCGACTTACGTTCCAATTTCATGCGAGACACTCTTGCACGAGTGGTATTACATTTCGCGAGGATTTCAAACTCCATCCCTCAAGCTGGTCGTGTAAGAGAGGCAGAAAATATGAGATGACTGGCTGCGGTGTTCGTGGTGGAAGTTGTTTTGTCCTTGCAAGCAAAACAAAGCCGTCGGCTACCAGATACGCGTATGATGCTTAAGATTGACTTAGATTATCACAAAAAGGTAAACGCTCGAGGCTATTGGCTTCCCGATCCAATCTATGTCCCAAATTGGGATACGAAATCTGGCGGCCACCGTCACCACGTCTACATCGTACAAAGTGTGGGATGCAGCTTTGTCACTGTGGCATTCGAACGTTTCGTCAGTTAAGGCCGCTACCAAGACAAGTTACATCGCGTCGCCAATTCCACATCGAAGGGGATGTACTCGACGACCTGACTGCTCGAGGACTCATATCCAAAATCACAAGGTATTGATTTTAGTTCAAACTGTTCATACAAAGTTCTTATTAGTGACAGGCAGGAAGAACTCAAACTAGAGATTCAGAACTCGCGCCAAGTGGTCTACGCCGGTGTTGACCCAACTGCTACATCATTACATGTCGGCCATCTCCTTCCTTTGCTCTGCTTGCTGCACTTCCACATAAGGGGTCATCAGATTATACCATTAGTGCGTCGCCTCTTGCGTGAATATTGCTCTTTAATATATATATCTGTCAGATAGGAGGAGCTACAGGTCTTATTGGAGATCCTTCTGGTCGCTCAACTGAGCGACCGTTATCCGAGGAGTCGGTTGTCGAGCATAATGTTCACTCTCTTACTACTGCAATACAGCGATTCTTTTCAAGAGCCACAGAATATGCACGGGATAGGCTGCAACCTTCTCAAACTCCCCTCTTGCAGCCGGACGTAAGGAACAACCTGGAGTGGACTAAAGATATGGGCTTGTTGGAATTTCTGCGAAAAATAGGCATTCACAGCAGAATTAACTCTATGATGGGAAGAGAAAGGTCCGTTATCGATCGGCATGCATGCATCATCTTCTCATGTTGATTGAATAGCGTTCGAGCGCGTCTTGAGTCACAGCAAGGCATTTCTTTCACGGAATTCACATATCAGCTCCTGCAGTCATACGACTTTCTCAATTTGCACGAGACGGCAGGCTGCAATATCCAAATTGGTGGATCAGATCAGTGGGGTAATATTGTTGCGGGTATCGACCTCATCAATCGGGTCAATGCCGCAAGCAATTCTGGGGGTCGAAATGCGAAGGGTTTTGGCATTGTTACCCCGCTCCTGACCACCGCGACGGGCGAGAAATTCGGAAAAAGTGCTGGCAATGCCGTATCACTTGATGAAACTATTACCAACGTCTTCGACTTCTATCAGGTAGGTCCTTCCGGTGGTGCTAAGCGTAGCCATTGCTTGACTCATTGAGCCTAGTTCTTCCTTAGAACTCCGGACGCAGATGCTACCCGTTATCTAAAAATGTTCACCTTGTTGCCCATGTCACGTATCGATGAGACATTCCACATGAGTAAGGTAAGCATTGCCGGCGCTAAGCTTTCAAGATAAGTCGCTTAATACTTCCTCAGCAAAGACCAGAGAAGAGGATAGCTCAGCGTCTTTTAGCCAGTGAAGTGACAGAATTAGTTCATGGCAGTGCGTCGCAACCATAGCGTTGTTATGTTTTATTCATCAAATGCAGGAGATGCTGTTCAGCGAGCCGAAATTGCGACCGCAATACTCTTTGACAACGACTGCAAAACAATTAGGGCTGAGGAGGCTGTGAAGGCTTTGCGCGGATTGCCTGTCTTTCACGCGTGGGACAAAGCAGATTTGTTCGGCATTCCGCTGGCCAAGATGGCAACGCGACTCCAGATCACCTCCTCAAATAGTAAGATGTTAGCTGGTGAAATGTGTGCGGTGGTCCGCTAACAGCATGTGCAGGTGCAGCTCGCCAACTCATATCTGCGAAAGGGCTATATCTCAACAACCAACCCGTCACAGATCCGAATCAGACATTGAGTATTAGGGACTTAATCGATGGACGAATAGTAGTACTCCGCGTCGGCAAATACAAACAGGCCGTTGTTGCCTTAAGCACACATGGGGTTTGCACTCATGGGATTTGATAGCAATAATAGAGGATAACGAGAGTCCCTACTACTTTTGTTAATATAGAGCCAATAGACGGTACTGGGAACTAATCGATGCGAATCGCACTGTATAATCTCTTCACCGCCCAGTACGTCGCAAGGAATCCAATTGTCCCTAAAAAGCATCATAAGAATCGAAGGCAAAACCAGTCGCTGTAGACTCACCCGTGACAAGGAAATCCAAAAGTGCAAGTAGCAAAAGATATCCCATATACAGAACAACACTAGAAAAAGAGTCTAGGGAAAGACGTGACGCCCAGTAGAACACACCGTATCCCAAAAGCCAAAAAGCGCTGCCGCCTCCTGTTAGGAATGCTCGCCAATGCCATCTGAATAGCATATTCAATTTATTAATGCAACGCGATGATATTATCCATGCATATATCACTAACCGATATTCCTCGGCACATAAGATGAAGTAGGTGAACAAAATTGTCACAGTTGCAGTGGTGAGCGATACAACACCGGCCGTCAGTGCTAGGAAGCCAAACGCATAGTACGCTCTCGAGGCAAAGAGGCTCGACAGTACAAAGTAAAGCTCAACGAAAGCAGCACCTATAAAATAGATTTCAAGTCGAGGTCACAATATCCGATACGCTAAATAACTCACCAAATGGTAGGATACCAGCCAGGAGAGTGGCAGCCTGAAGACGTTATTATAGCTTTTGCTCAGAAAATAAGCCCCACTCACCCAAGGTTGAAGATATCTAGGTGATTTTGGAATCTGCCGCGGGATCTGGTTCACTCTAACAGGGTGTGGAATACCCTATTTTGGTGTTAGCGGCCGCAGAATGTAGCATCGTAGTAGACGAACTCCATGTCTGGTTCCGAAAAATGATCCAACCAAAGACAAAGGTGCTGATATGCCGAACCAGAGAACAACAATGAGCAGCATGGTGCCTGCTGCCAATGTCAAGAAAGGTCCAACCATCATGAGTTGGATGCGTACCGAAGGGCACTGCACCAGAGGAGCCTGCCGCGATAAGAAAGAGGTCTAGTAAGAAGACAATTGCAAATACAAGTCTAAGTTTAACAAGAATGTGAACAATGGAGCGTCTTGCAAGGAACCACAACGACCACGTACGCAGGTAGTACGGTTGCAGTGAGAAACGAGTTCTTCCTCCTATCATTCCCGCCAAGAGACGAATAAACACGACTCGACACATAGCCACCAATGCTGGTTATCATGACCTTTAGAAGGGATAATGAAGTACACGGAAGTACGCTCACCCTCCAAATAGTGTCCAACAAACCATCATGACCGTGGCGAGAGAACCTCGGTTAGAGGGTGACAGGAAACCTAGAAGAGCGAATACTAGGGAAACATCAGTCGATTGCAGATTGGTCACCAGTATGAATATGCAAATACCGAGTGTTACACCAACCATCGCGCACAACTGTGCACCATTTCCAACGAGTACGGATAGAATCATGGGATTACGTGGTGACCTAAACACCTCTCCATGCACGAGTTTCCATCCCCAGTCTTCTTGGACGTCCTCCTGTTAAACAATTTCAAATGGATATTACCTACGCGCTATAAAAATGATGACTCACGCTCAAATCAATCGCATTGTAACGGGAAATCTGCGCGGTAGATCTCAATACGAGGAGCACGGGTGAATACTAATGAGCTCACATCTCGGGAAACCGTTCGTAACAGGATCATGGAGACCATGACGCAGAGGAACACTACGATGACAATTGAGTTGATGAGGCTAAACCAATGTATGCGCTGCGTGGACCTAAGTTGGAGCAGTGCAGAACGAAGAAACTGATCCTACGCACAGGGTCGAATATGTGTAGGTAATTATCCCAACGGGTAGCCCAGGGAGTATCAGATTCCTGTCAACCAAAGATCAGTTGATGATGGTACCAACGCAAGCTAGGTTGCAGCTGACATTCCACATCACGCGATACGTATAGCGTACGGAATTGTTTTGATCTTCCCGCAGGAGGAGTGGTCCAGACGCAGATGAGCAGTCTGTAGTGGCATCCTGAGAACCACCATGGCTGTACAGAGCACACCAAATTAACGCTGACATACAACTGCATGTTTCACTGACCCCACCTGGTCGGCCACACGAGAACGCCTACTATGCGATGCACACCGGGACGAGGAGTGTGATATCTGTGTGTGTCGTAATTCCATGAAATACGATGTACAGCTCACCATATTACTTACCTCAGTACAATCTCATAATGATTATGAAGTGCGGGTGTAGTCGCCTGTTGCCCTTCATCATCCCCAAGATTGAATCCCATGTCAAAGAATAGGTCTCCGGTCTTTATATCTTGCTTCATCTCAGCTGCTGGAAGACCATCCACTAGCCAATTTAGTGCGTAGTCTTCACGAATGCGATCGTTGACATATTTGGCATCTTGCGCTGGAATCTCTGTCCTGCAGAGCGTTCTACAAGTTCCATTGTCTTCGAGCATTCTAATCTAGGGCATTGTGAGGTAATATGAGGGATCATGATAGTCACTCTTACATCATATGGCGAGTTGAATATCCTATCTCCAAATAGAATGGACCCCAAAGACTCGGGCTCCTTGCGCGGGCCCCCTTCTGGGGTGCAGAAGTGGAACCTTGGGTCATAGTAGTCATCTGTTCGAAGTCAGTGTACACGATGGAAATGAGACCGTTGTGACATACAGTTAATCAGAGATTTCTACGCTCAAAGAGTTTGTGAGGTAGACCGCATATAGCATATGGCCAACAGGTCAGGACATACCAGTTTCGCATTATCGTATCCGCCCAGCATGGGGGTCAAGGCATTGACGTAAAGTTCTACGACCTCGCCTTCTGTGTAATCATGAGGCGCTGCTCCAGGAAGATAGAATGCTTGTGCGGTTGACAGCAACGAGATGACACCGCCCAAAAGGCAAAACCAGCGCGACATGGCAGCGCGAACAAGGAAGATTGTGTGTCGGTCGCGTTAGTGGGCGGAGTACGCACTGTCAATGGCGAGGGCAGCCTGGAAATGAAGTGAAAGACAGTGGGAGCGACGAAAGAGAGTGATGGACAGTCGGCCGCAGGGGAAACAGCCACAAGCCGGCGGCTGGTG